TGCCTTAGAACACGGAGCATCCCCTGACATTTGGTTAACCATGTTAAAGCAATAGGTCGCTGGCCTCCCAGCTCTTGCACCCCACGAGGCTAGTCTCATTGCACGGGATAGAGTGGGTAGGCTTCAGCAGCCCAAGGAGTTGCAAGGCTAAGCACTGCACAGGAGAGGTCTGCGGTATAACGACTTTCTCCTGGGAGATAAGTCATCTTGCATGAAGGTTCTATGTCATGATCTCCTTCCCCCAGAAAAAAGACATCGGACTGGTCAGGACTTCCTCTGGGGATAAGACCCTGGAGAGGAGCTTTGTACATGTTCCGAATTTGCACATGGGGATTTGACCTCTATCTCCACTCCAAAGTTGTGGGTGTCCTATTGCTTCAAAAATAAATGAATAGGGGGAGATGTGAGGAGCCGCCCTCGCTATCGCTATTGCCGTTAGAAGATGGCGCTGACATCCACTGTCAGTTGGAGTTAACTGTCGCTGTCAGTTGGAGTTAACTGTCGCTGTCAGTTGGAGTTAACCGTTTAAACTGTGCCTCTCCCGTGACGTCATCTGGGGTGATGTGCAAACCACCAATCCCGGCTCTACACATCTCACTCGGAGCTCCTAGGCTTATATAAGGGGCTGGGTTTCTTAGCTTGGGGTCTCCCTCTAAGAAGCTGATCATCTATCTCTCAAGATGCATTAAAGCTTTACTGCAGAAGGATCCGAGTGTTCTGCGTCGTTCTTGCTGGCGAGACGGTAGCGCGGGACATATATGTATACTCAGAGTTGCTGCATTGGGGAATTCAGGGCAGTGAGAGACCATACTGAAGAATGACATCAGAGGTATACCTCTGGCCTCCAACACACACACACACACACACACACACACACACACACACACATTCCTGGTACATTTCCTTGCCTAGTGATACAGTGTTATCATAACCTATACTGGGCTTACACCCTTGTCATAATATTTTATCCCACTGTTGTCTTGGAATGCATCATTTTCTTCTAAGTAGGAGTATGTATTAAGAGCCCTCAAAAGTCAGCATTTCTGACATTACAGGTAAGGGTGCTTTTCAGATAGAATGGGGAATATGCAGACTTGGTGACTGAGATGCAAACCAAACACATCTGTTATCCTGGCAAAATCAGCATATCACAAGAGGCTGGATATTTTGAACATGTTCCCGTTAATTTTACTGTACACAAACACTTGCACTATTAGACATATGTGGATGCTTCTACTCTCAGAAATCACAGTCTGATTCATGCACTCCTCTTTTTTCCCCTGGTTGTTGTTTATCCTGGGGCACAGCCTGACAGACACATGAACAGTAAACACAGTGCATGGTATTTGTGAATAAAGAAATAAAAATATTCATAATGAAGGATAGTGAGATGGCTCAATTGATAATATTCTTGCCTTGCAAGCATGAAATTTGAAGTTCAATCCCTAAGATAGACCTTAAAAAATGTAGGCATGGTGGAACATATTGTGCTACCAATGAAATGTAGTCATAGACAAATACATGCCTGGGGCACATGGGCCACACACCCTAGCCAACTCTACAAGTTCCTGGGTGGGAGAAACGGTAAATGGTTCCTGTGGAGTGATGCTTAAAGTTGTGAGGCTATCTTCCACATGTGGAACACACACACACACACACACACACACACACAATCACATAATGATATAAAAAATTCAAAATAATATAAATTAGACCATTTTTCAAAATGAGTCCACACAACAGACTATGTTGAAGAGAGATAACTGCTAAAAGGCATCTATGGCCTTCTCACATCTTTTCTCATACTTAATACTAAAAACCTGAAAAATTTCCCTGTAAATTCTGAATGTGATGGCTCCTTCTACCACTGCCTATCTAAAACAGTGCTCCAGATTCCATGATGTAGTTTTACTTAAAGAAATAGAAACCATGGACTTGAGAAAGTACAAGGCAGGGGCAGTGGTATACAGGAAGATGGCTTGAGGGAAGAAGGGGTAAGTGATGTAATTATATTGTAATTTTGAAAATTAAAAAATATTTTCCCACAATAAAAATATTGTACTACAGAGTTTTAATGAGGGATGTGGGAGAAGAAAAAGAAACAATGAACACTTAGAAAATAGACAGACATGGCAAAATGGCAGGAAAGGACCTGTCAGGGCTGAGCTCATGGCAGAAACACCATGAACTATTTATCCATGGAAAGTAGCTTCACAGGAGAAAAGGAAAACAGCTGAGAGGTTACAGTTCCTGGTATATCAAAGAAATAAGAAAAAGGACATTGTGAAGGTAACAGATTTGCTTTCTGAGCATCACTTATCCCATAGCCCCAGGCACCACATTATGGAGAGAGAAACCAATTATTTGCCAAAGGTGAGAGCAGTAACCAGCAAACTTTATACAGGAAATGGCCACAGGGAAAGCCCAGTAAGATCTGGAAGTAGACCTATCTCATGGGTTCAGAATATAGATTTTTATTTGTATACTAAGCTCACAATACCATCTCACACCAAGCCTCATCTTGCAGCTCCAGGTTCTAGGTTTATCCAACATATTATTCTCTTGGTAGTCATTTATCCCAGGAAACTCCAGAACACCTAAGCTCTGGACCCCAGAAGTCTTAGTTGTCAGGCCATCAACAATATTAGGACAGTATTCACACACTCATGTTGCAGTCTCTTGCAGGCCCGGCTCATTTGTTGTGGATGCACCAACACACTGTTTTGTTCTTTGGACCTGCAAAGACCTGACTTACTTCCAGGTTTAATCCTACATCTGAATCAGACAGGTACCTGGGAACCCAGAGTCTGGACAGATCCAGTAGCTACAAATTCTAGCTCAATTCAGCACCAAATCAGGTTTGTGGCCCCGAGCTCTAGGTCAATTCCAGGTGTCAGTTTACACAGACCCAACCTTCAGACCCACCCCTAATGCTGGCTTTATTTCCCTGGCCCTAGACACAAACATGCAAAAAATAATCGAGAGTGGGTAAAAGATGGAATTGAAAATAAAAATTGTAAATGCATTGGAAATAATAGAAAATACAGTTTATCCCCATTTGTAGCATTCTGGGGGTAAACTAATAACTATAAGTAATCATATTTAAAAAGTGGACAACTTAATAATGAGTATGCAAACAAATGACATGACATTGGAGCAAAGCATAAAGATATACATTTTTCTACTTTTATAAAATCTATTCTCTCATTTCTGATAAAGTAGTAAATGCATTTACACATTTAAAAAATTCAGGAATTCTAGATTTGCAAAGTGTGCATGCCTGTAATCCCAACACTTAGGAGGTAAAGGCAGGAGGATCAGAAATTTGAGAAAACCTTTTGCTACTTAGTGAGTATGAGGCCATTCTTGGCTAATTGCAACCCTGATAAGAGGAGTGCATGTGGCAGATGGGTATCTCCAAATAAAAACTCTAACACTCAGAGATGAACATAATAAGCTGAGCTTGAAACTAGCCAAACATAAATGAAATAAAATAATATAAACTATATAACAGATATACATAGAATAGACAGCAAAAATAAAAGCAAACTCAGAAGTAGATCCCTTCAAATATCAACAAATGGATGTGCTTTTCTTGGAGTAAAGCACAGACCCTGAGGGTTAAAGGCTCCTGGGAGACCATGTGGTAAACAATGTTCCAGGGTTACCTTGACATTAGAAAGACTTTTTCCCCTGGAGGAGATGCCAGGCACCTCCAACTAGTAGTGAAATCTGGACACACGCACTTAAAATCTAGACAATGTGTTTGGGAGAAAACATGTATACATCTACTATACTAAACATAATGCCTCATTAATGTAGTTTTTACGCATTTCTGTAAGGTAAGAATACTTTTTTTTTTTTTTAAAGAAAGGTAGCCATCTGTCCTCTGACACCTACAATGTAAAAACAAACCCTCAAATCTAAGGTCATCTGTATTCTGGGAGCGAAAGAGTCCACAATTACAAATTTGACCTCGGCTTTTTGGTGCTCTTATTTGAAATTAGACCCCTTGAACGGAGCCCCCTCCAACCTTTGCCAATGATGGAATCCACATTGGATTGACAAGCCCTTCTGTCGGAGTCCCCTGGGGACAACTCAGGCACGCCCAGAGATTTTGGCATCCCCTCTCCAGCCTCCTGCAATCTCCTGACCTGTGCGTCTCTCCTGCTGTGTCCAGCTACTAGCAGGACTCCACCCTATGTGGCTTGGAGGGCAGAGCTGGTGGAGGTGGAGGGCGAGACTGGATCACAAATCCTTTGCAGCAGCTCTGTTGTCTCGAGTGACAGGCCGCGTACAGTGCCACGGATTTTGCTGAGTCATGGCCACGAGCAGTTTTAACACTATTAGGGCATCCAAATGGACATTCCCTTTTGGGTGTGAAGTTTGGGGATTGTTAGTAACATATAGACGTATTTTCTCATGTTAAAAGCTTGTGAGCTGGGCGGTGGTGGCACACATCTCTAATCCCAGCACTCGGAGGCAGAGAGAGGCGGATCTCTGTGAGTTCGAGGCCAGGCTGGACCTACAGCCTCCAAAACAATACAGAGAAACCCTGTCTCGGAAAACAAAAACAAAAACAAAAACAAAAAAAGCTTGTGACCCTCCCACTACAACTGTCCTTAGAGGACTTGGGGAGATAGGCCAGTGTCTATACAAAAGAATCTGGTATACGGAAACAATATACAGCAGTTCTGTTGCCATGGGAGAATGGAAAGAACCTTAAGCCCCTAGAAACAGATGACTCATTGGGTAGGCTAGACTTGCGGATGCTCATTTCTCACCCACAAGCATAACATTTTGCGGAGGAACACGAACCATGGTAGGAGGAACACGAGCCATGGTAGGAGGAACACGAGCCATAGTAGGAACCTATGCAAGTTCTGCCCACAGCTCTAGCATATCCTTTGATTTCCTGCTTTGTACTCTTTTATGTGAGAAAGTAGTCCCGGTTCACTCCGCCCTCCCCGTGGAAGGCCCCTCCTTCACTTCTCCCAGAATGCAATGTGTCATTGGAGCCCTGCGTAGATATAAGAAGCGAGCCGCCATCTTGTGACTCACTGCTGTCTTCGCTTAGGAAAGCTTCTGACTGGCGTGTCTCGCGCCATGTCTGATAACAAGAAACCAGACCAGGGCCATTTTGGTTCAGATGGCGAAGATTATGGAAATGGATGCCATTCATTGGGCCAGTACTCCCTGGAAGATATTCGGATGTTTCTGGAATGTCTGCTCGTCGTTGCTGCCATAGCAGGGTTTCTGGCGTTTCAGTTGATTTCAAACGCCTTTTTTGAGGAGGAAGAGGAGGAGGAGGAGGAAGACGAGCAGGAGGAGTTCGAGAGAGATGTGACCTGGATAGCTAAGCAAACCCCGAGTATGCCCGTTATCGATGAGGAAGATGAATACATGGAAGACTTCGAGTTTGAGGACTTTGAGGATGAGAACCAGGAAGAACTACCGAACCAGATGGCGAAAGCAGAGAACCGGGCAGAGGATGAGATTCGCACCAGAGAGGGAAAAGGGGCTGCCTGCCTCATTGACTTGAAAACCTGTACCTGTAAGTTACCCACGTTTCGGGATGGGTTGGGACAGGATTGAACAGGAGTGGGTCAGGTATTCTGGCACTCGGGAGTCACAGAATACTGAGTATTACACAGCTCAGGTGGAAAGGTATCCTGGAGCTCGGGAGCCAAGGACCACCACAGGTTGCAGTAAACTTAGATGCTTACAGCCTTGCCTCAGGGAAAGGCTTCCCAGTATATCGGCTCTGCTCTGGGAGCGTGGGGAGGGGGGAGCGTGGGGGGGAGGGAGCAGGGAGGGGGGAGCAGGGGAAGCAGCAGGGGAGCGGAATGTAACAACTCTGCTCCATCAAGGGAAGGCTTCCCCAGGCAAGTGTTACAGCCCTGCTAGCTCTGCTCTGCTCTGCCCAGGGTAGCCTCTGCTTGCTCTGCTCTTCCTAGGGTGGCCTCTGCTCCCTGGCTGCCACAAAAGAAGATCTTCACCCAAAGCTCATCCAAAGGGGTTTATTGAACCAGCCAAGCTGAACATACACAGGGTTTATATAGGGATTCTTGGGGGCGGGGAAGTTTTTCTAGGGTAGGAATTGGTACTGTTTCAGTGCTGAGCTCAGATTGGCTAGAGCTCTGCTCCGGGATTTGTTACTTTTTTTACACAGGATTAGGGTCAGATTTGGCTCTGGTTTCAGGGTCAAAGTGTGTTTCTTTCTCTGGTCCTTTTTTAGCCTTTTGGCTCCAATTTTAGGGCCAGGGCACATTTCTTTCACTGACTCAGATTCCAGGGACAAAGTGTGTTTCTTTTGCAGTGGTTTCAGGTCAGGGTGCATTTCTCTGGTTTCAGGGACAAAGTGTGTTTCTTTGGCTCTGCTCAGGGTGTGTTTCTTTGGTTGGTCCCTTTTCCCTACACTTACTCTCGATTCAGGGTGGGTGTATTCTTAGCCTCTTCTGTAGTAAAGACCATCTTATAGTGGGTCTCACTCCTCAGCAAGGCTCCTGTCTCTCATCCCCTCCTCCTTGCTAGTCTCTTCTGGGACCTGTTCTTAGCACTCTCCTACCACCCCTCCTTCCATTCCTCATCTTCTCCCCTCCAACTCCCCTCTTTTGACCTTTTGTCTCCCTGCACTGCTTTCTGTCCCTGTTTGCCATTTTGCAAATTTCCACTCCTTGTTCCCATCCGCCTCCATGTACCCCTTTTTTCTTCATTCCTCTCCAGCTCCCTCCCCCACCCTACTCCCGTTTTACTTTTTTCTCCCTGCTGCTATTCCTTCCCAGCTCCTGCTCCCCTTTTGTGTGTCTCCTCTGCCTGCTCCTCTCTTCCTCCCTGTGCCTCATTTTATCCTCCTTTCTCTCCCAGTTCCCCATTCCTGTTTCCCTTTTTATACCCTTTTCCCAGCTCCCCTTCCTTCTCAACTTTTGCTATGTTTATTATCATCCAGGAAACATGACCCCACCCCTTGGGCACTTGGCAGAGTACACCATCCCTGGCTGGCAGGACCCTGACTCTGTCTGTAGCAGGTATACAGGCCCCTTGAAGACACAAGCTCCACCCACTGTTGCTCTCTCTCTGCTGTTTCTCTGGGGAGACAGAGCTCTGTCTTTCTGTCTGTCTCTGTCTTTCTCTCTCTTTCTGTCCTTTTTCCTTCCCTTACTCCCTTCCCTTTCCCAGTAAAGCACCCTCCCTGCTCCCCTTTTGACCCCTTCCTCCCCAGCACTCATCCCTCTTGCTTTTCCTCTTTTTGACCCTTTCCTACCCAAGCTACCATCCCGCTCCCTGGTCCCCTTTTGCCCTTTTCCTCACCAGCAATCATCACCCTAACTGCTCCTCTTTTGCCCCCAAACTTCCACAGTCACCAATCCCCTCATGCTCTGCTCCTTACGCTTTCCTCTCCAGTACCCAGCACCCTCCCTGCTCCCCTTTTCCCCCTTCCTCTACCAGCAACCCTACCCTACTTCCTTGCCTTTTGCCCCTTTCCTCCCCAGCACCCACCCTGCTCCCCATTTTTCCCCATTCATACTCAGCACCTAGCAGCCTCCCTGTTCCCTTTTGGGCCCCTTTCCTTGCCAACACCCAGCCCTGCTCCTCCTGCCTGCTACCCCTCCCCTTTCCATACCTGAACCCATCTCTTGACCCCTTTTTTGTGCCTTTCATCTCCTTCTCCATCCCTTCCCTGCTCCTTATTTCTTCCCTTTCCTTCTGGCTGCCTCCCATCCCCTCTGTGGTCTCCTTTTCACTCCTTTGCTCTGTCTTTCCCCCTTTCCATGCCTGTTTCTCCTGACTCCCATCCCTCTCCCCTTTGGACACCTTTCTGTTCTATGACCCCTCTCCCTCCCTGCCCCAGCTGCTCATCTTCCCTCCACTCCCCTCAGCTTCTCTACCCCTGTCTGCTTCCCTCCTACCTCCTCTCTTTGTCTTTCCCATCCCCCTTTACCTCTCTACTACCCTGATTTCCTCACCATCCCACTGCCCTGTCTCTTTCCTTTTCAGCGTCCTCCCTCCCTCTATCCTCTGTCAATCCATCCCCTCCCTTTACTCTCCCTGTTCCCTTCCTTACACCGCACCCTCCTCGTGCTCCCTTCCTGTCTCTGCACTTTCTCTCTTTCCCCACCCCAGTCTCTCACCCCCTCCTCCTTTCCTGCTTCCTATCCCTCCCCCATCTTCTCCCTTCCTGCTCTCTACCTCCTGTCTCTCCCCTGGCCTTCACCCCTTCCTCCCACCCTCCTGTCTTCTCCGTGGTTCCATGCCTGCTCCCCCGTTACTGACACTACCTCTTTCTTATGCCTCCATTTTGCTGCCTCTCCTCTCCTTTCCTCCATCCTTCACCCCTGTTTCCTTCCCTTTCTTCCCGCTTCTCCCCTTCCCTGATGCCCTCCCTGCTTTCCTCTTCACCTGTGTTCCCACTTCCTGCTTCTCCTTCTCTTTGCTCCTCTCCTCTTCCACTGTCTGCTCCCCTTCACCTCTTCCTTCCCTCTCCTTATCCCCCCACCCTTCCCCCTTCTTTCACCTCTGCCTTCATCGTTCCATCCCCTTTCCCTGTCCATCAATCATCTCCTCCCTCCCCGGTCCCCCTTCCTGTCTCTTCCCCCTCTTCTGTTTCCTCTCCCCTCCCTTTCCCCTTTTTGGCTCTTCCAGCTCCCTGCTTCCCATATCCATTCCCTCTCCCTCCTTCTTCCTCTACCTGATTCCTTCACCTACTTCCTGCTTCTTTCTCTATGTCTCCTCTCCTCCTTTCCCTCACCCCACTTTCTGCCATTATCTGACCCCTCTTCCCATCTCTCTCCTCCTTCCTTTCTGTCTCCCATTTCCCTTCTGTTTCCTTCTCTCCTGCTCATGTTCCTTTCTCATCTGCATCCTTCCCTGTCCCCTCCCCTTCCCTTTTCCCCACCCCTTTCTTTGCCTTTTCCTGTCCAGTCTATCTTCATGCACTCCCCTTTCCATTCCCTCTCTACCTTTTCCCCTTCTCCTCCTCTTCTTCCTCACCTCCCCCTCCTCTCCCTTCCTTTCCACCTCAACCTTCCCCCTGCTCCCCTCCCCAGCCTGTCTCCTCTCCAAGGCCCCTCCATTTCCTCTTTCACCTTTCTCTTTGCCCCTAACCCCTTTGCCTTTAAAAGGAGATCCCAGTGGGAAGGCAAGGAACTGAGTCAAATTGCAAAGGCACTATAGGCAGAAGAGGCTGAATGCAGAATGAGGCCAGGTATTTGAGGATGACTGAAATCCAGATGACTAGGACTAGTGTAGTCTAGGGAACAAGAAATGACAAAGTGCTAGTGAAGTCCTTGGTCCTTGCTGCTTCTTTTGCCTGTGTTGGCACAGCTTTCTCAAATGCACGCCAAGCTCAGAGCTTTGCCCAACCTAGTTGGGCAATGGTAGAGTCTGAAAACTAGGGGCCAGTGGTTTGTTTTTAGGACAAATTAGCAATTTGTTGCTGATGTTCTGCTAAGAAATAGAGCAAATACAAACAGATCGAAGATTTTGACACCCTTCTGTCCCATGGATTATGAATAAGAAGCTATATATATATATACAGAAATAAATTGTCACCATGCAGATTTTTTAGACTGAAGATATGTCAGGAACATAGAAATGTTGCTAAAATACTTTCTTTTTCTCACGTTTATATTCTCCAGTCGTTCCTGACTATAAATCACGGAAGGATGAAGTTAAGTGTAAACTGCTTTATTTCTTCCGTGAGCCTACTTTCCTGGTGTCTCTGCCAGTAGACTCTGAAGAACCAACCGAATGTGAGTGCAAAAGTGCTGATGAAGAAGATTCAAAGGAAAACGAAGAAGATGAAACTGGAGAACTGGAAGGAGAGTCTAAAAAGGACCCGGATTCTGCAGAGGGCTCCCAGCCTTAGGAATGCAGGTACTGGCTTCTCTAGCTAACCTTTCCTAACATAGCCCTCTGACTAAAAGCTTCCTGTTTTCAATAATATCCTTGGTAGTCAAAACATGCTTTAAAATTTCATATTATTAAATCAAACATTACATGAAATAAATATTAAATTGATTTAATATTAAACTAAAACAAATTAACACCCATAATATGTACACTTGTTAAGAAGGATTCAGTTCTTTCTAGATACATGTCCTTTAGACTAACTATGAGATTACTTGCTACAGATGGGAAGTTGTCAGACTTAATAGTAACAGACCATAAAGAGAAATTCTACCTGCTTTGTATGGCCACAGAAATACTGTATTATTCTTATGGTGCCTGTTCTTACAGTGCTGATGCAAGTTGGAAAAGATTGTTTCCTGTGAAATCACATCTCATGATTCATTTGTAAATTATCAGCCTAGTTTTGATTAATAATAATTCAAATGACATTAAACCCCAAAAAAGTAGATTTTGTTTTGGCTGAATTGGGAATCTGGCACTGTATTTTCTGTGTTCATGTTTGTCTCTTTTTGTCTTTCTGAATATTCCCATTTCTAGACCCCTGGTTTTAATGAGAAGAAAATATCTATTTAGAAAATCATTAAAATCTTTTTCAAATTTAATTATTATTTAAAATTTTAATTTTTTAATAAAAAAGTAAATGAGGTTTTTTTAAGAGATGAAAACTGAGTAGCTGGGAGGCTAAGGGAATGGATAGGATTGGTATATAAACATACAAAGTTTTGTGCTCTGAGAATCAGTTAAAGAGAAAGAAAAAAACAGGCCTTTACAATGGTTGATGTTAGGATAGTAAAGCTGATAAAATCAGATTATGAGCATTCTGATAACTAAAGATCACTTTGGGAAACATAGCAGGGAAGTGTTTTAGGTTTTCCTTGTTGAGAGACAATGGCAATACACAGAATTGGCAAGAAAGTCAGTAGTGCCTTTTAAGAAAATACAAATGTTGTTTGTCTCTTCTTTCCTCCTGCAGTTGCAAAGCCCAGAAGACAGAAATGGACGGAGGAAGAAGAAACGGTTTTCATTAGTTTTCTCATTTTTAGTAGTCTAGAAAATTGATTTGTTCATGTCACCAACAGACATCTGATTACACAGGGTCCTTTATAGATATAAAGGACTACATTTCTTCATGTTAAAAATAAAAGTTTGACTAGCATTGACTACAGTGGTTTCATAGCAATTTTTTTTATCTTTTTGGTTTTGCCTCCTCTTGAAAAAGAAAAGCACCAAGATTACTGGGATAGTAAATAATACCAATGGGTAGCTGTGAAACAGCAGCAGTAGCTGGAAATTTGCTGGGAATGCATATTCTCAGACTCTACTCCAGACTTACTGAATCTGAGATCCTTAAGGCAGACCTTCAGTCAGGGTGGCACATGCCTTTAATCCCAGCACTCTGCAGGCAGAGCAGGTGAATCTCTGTGAGTTGGAGGCCAACCTGGTGTACAGAGTGAGTTCCAGGACAGGCTCCAAAACAATACAGAGAGAAACACTGTCTCAAAATAAAAGGCTTTCCTGAGTTCTCTAAGAGCTCTGAGCACTTGAACTGCAGGGCACCACTGGTTTACTAATATAGGGGGAAAGACTGTAGAACCAGCCTTCCTTAGCTCAGTAGGTGCTAAGTTTGTGATCTGAATGTCAGCCAATGGTCCGGATGTTGAAGGCCTTGACCTTTGTTTTGTTACCCTCTTTGGGAGGTGATGGGACCTTTAGTACATGGAGGTGGAGAACTTTTTGGAAAAATGTTAGTACTTTAGGGATGTGCCCTTGAAGGAGATAGCAGGACTTTGACTGCTTCTTGTTCTTTTGCTTCCTTGCTGCCATAAGGCACGCAGGTCAATCCACCACCTCTTCCTTTGCTGGTAGAATGGCTTGTCACCATCAAACACAGCCCTGCTGAAAGGCTGTGCTCATTTCCCACAGCAGCCATAAGGAAGTCATGACCAGGGTAGCTTCAAACAATAGAAGTTTGTTCACTCACAGTTCTGACAGTTGTAAGTATGCAATGAACTTGTTAGCAGCATCATTCCTTCTGGAAATTCTTTTTTTTTTTTGGTTTTATGAGACAGGGTTTCTCTGTATTGTTTTGGAGGCTATTGGACCAGTCCGGCCTTGAACTCACAGAGATCCGCCTGCCTCTGCCTCCCAAGTGCTGGGATTAAAGGCGTGGACCACCACCACTTGGCTCCCTTCTGGAAATTCTGATGGGGAATCCTGGCCTTTCATCTCTGCTGGCTTCTGGAGGTTGACATCAATTTTTGGCAATCATTGAGTTGCAAATGTATAATTCAAATATTTTTCTCTATCCACATGTTTTCCCCCCTTTGGGTCTCTGTTTCTAGGTCTGTTCTTTATCAGGGTTTCAGGCAGTGGATTAAGGGTCCAGCTTTGTCCGGTATTACTTCATCATAATATTATATATGTAAATATTCTTAGGTCACATCCATGGATTCTAACAGTTGCCCCTGCACCATATCTCTGTGAAGAACATCATTGAACTCATTAAGGTGTGATGGTGAGCCCACCAGATGATAGCTACCGAGACACAGTTTATACCAAATTGAAAGTCTTAATTCCAATCAGCTGGGATTAAGGTGAGGTATATGGGACCCAAGTATAGCCCCAGCATTTAGAGAAGTTTTTAAAGGCAAAAGACACCACCTGGTATCTTATTTTGCAGCTCGGGTCAGAGGAACATTGCAAAAGCACGTAGTTCAACAGAAGTTGAGATAAGCAGTTATCTGGAGAGGGTTCTGCACAAGCAAGCAGTTTAACAGAAGCTAAGATAGGCAGTCAGCTAGAGGGGGGAGGTTCTGCACAAACAGGCAGTTTACAGAAGCTAAGTTATCTGGGGTGTCTTGATCTTGGTTTTCTTGAACAGAGTTGGGTAATTTTCCATGGGATTCTCCACCAAGGAAATCAAATTCTATTTAAACCTAAAGTAACCTCAGCAAGAATACAAGATGGAGAAACATTTACAATATCTTTCCCTGTCACAAAGGTGCAAAGATTGGGTGATGGTCCTGAAACACAGATAAAGGAAAAAACTGGGGAAATGTAAAACAATATCTTTGTTTATGGTGAAAGGTGTGTGTGTGTGTGTACATTTCCCTAATATGGTATTTATCTTCATAATTCTTTCTGAATGCTGTTTGCATCCTTCTATGTGTATATATATGTATATGTATATATATATGTACAAATATTTATATACATGTACAAACAGCATTCAGAAAGGATTATGGAGAAGTTAAATACCATATTAAAGACAATGGTTAACATTTGTGGAATAAAACCTAAAATTCATCTGGGGACATGCACAGTGAAATTCAATTATTTTTATAAGTGAGTTTTTAGATTGGATAATGAACACATGGCTATAATATTCTACATACATTTTTACAGGTTCTGAACTTTTTCTGAAATAAAAAGGAAATTTAAGAGAAGAAATCTGCTTTAAAAGCCTGCTTAACGAAAAGGAGTGAAATAGCTGAACAATAAAGGATTGGAAATGATAAGGGTCATGTATTTTAAGTAGGAATCTGGATTCTACATCTAGTTAAGGCTACCCAGATTCCTGATTATTAGTCTCAATAGCATTCTGCACGTTATGTAGCAGCATGCATGATCATCTCCTCACCCCATAGAAAATGAAATTCTAAAAGTTTCAGATTACATGTGTACTTATTTGTATCATCTAAGCCAAGTAGACTGTATTCTTTTCTTAGGAGGTGCTTGAAATAATTGCTAATGGTCTGGCTGTTGTGTAGATGTGTAGATGTCCCTTTTTTTAGGTGTCTCTTCTTTAGCATTCTTTGGTATCTGTAGACACGGGGGTACTTTTTAGAACCTCTGACATTTTTCTCCTTTTGTTTAAACTGAAACCTATCTTTTAGTAACCAGAAAATATAAAATCTAGGCAATATCAGTAAGGGGGCAGAAACTCCATTCACCAAAGTCACCAATCCATGGGTAGAGAGAAGGTTTTTATTATAGATATGAGAGAGAGAAAATAGAGGACTTTGGGAAAGTCCAAAGCATTCATGGCTCTCTCTATGGAGCAGAGAGGATAGGACAGACTGGCAAGGGCAGAGAAAAGAGCAGGAGCAGAAAAAAACCTCCCTTGCTTACAAAGAAAAACTGACAGCTGCAGGGTAGGAGTAGTGGATCCTGTGAACTGGAACAGCCTGGAAGTTTATGGGCTGGGGAAGGGGGCTTGAAGCCCAGTGGCTTAGGCATTCACCATATGCAAGTGGCAATAAGGAAGTGGCTCTTCCTGACAGACAGAATCCTTTTCCCAGGTTCCTAGGGAGTTATGAAAGTGAGCAACAGCAGTCCTTCTATAGTGCAGCTTAAGCTGAGCCAAAACTGTCATCAAAGGAGTTCCTTTTAGCTATGACTGGCTTCACTTCCTTTGTAATGTTATTTGAGTTCTTAACTGCACTTTCCACTCTGCTGCTATAATTTGAATTTGAAATATATAACAAAGGCCTGTGTGTTTAAGGTTTAATCCTTAATCTGTGATGCTATTGGGAAATGATAATTTTTTTAACTTTTTGTTTTAATTAGCTTGTTTTACATGTCAATCCCAGTTCCCTCTCCCTCCCCTCCTCCCACACTCCCCTTCCCCCCAGCCTCCCACCCTATTGCCAATTCCTTCCCCATAGGGGATATCTAGAGTCTGTCATTTCATTCAAGTTAGGGTCCAGGCACTCCCCTAAGAGTCCAGGCTGAGAGAGCAACCCTCTTTGTGTTATGGACACACGATGTCTGTTAGTATTCGAGGGATAAACACTGACCCACTGCTCAGCACCCCATAGGTAGTCCAGGCCTCCTCATTGACTCTGGCATTCAGGGGGTCTGGATCGGTCCCATGCTGGCCTCCCAACTGTCAGTCTGAGGTCCAAGAGTTCTCCCCTGTTCAGATCAGCTGTCTCTGCTGGTTTTGCCAGCCCATTCTTTGCCAATTTGCTCTTCGCTCCTCTCTCTCTGTCGCTGGGTTCCTTGGGTTCAGGTCAGTATTTAACTGTGGGTGTTTGCCTCTGCTTCCATCAGTCACTGGATGAAGGCTCCAGGATGGTTATAGACATCAAGTTCACTATCAGGAATGGGCATTCGAGGTGGTCTCTACACTATTGCTTAGCTTGTCAATTGGTGTCATCCGTTTAGATCACTAGAGGTCACAGTGGTGCCTGGTCTGTCTTCTAACCTATGATTCCCTCTTCCCCCATCCTACCCCCCCAGTCGACCTTCCTGTTCCTCCACATCCTACTCTCTCTTCCACTTCTCCCCCTCTCTATTTCCCAGGCCCCCCTTCCCCTCACCCCTCGCCGTGTCACAAAAAGACAAACATGGTATGTACTCACTCATATATGGATTTTAAACATGGATCAGGAGAGTGCCAGTCTGCACTTCCACTGAAAGAGAGTCTGGGAAACAGGAAAGAACCTAAAAGACATACATGGGAAATGATAAAAATTTTTAAGAAGTGGAGCCTACTGAAATGTTTTAGGTTACTGGGTATGGGAATTATAGGACCTTGGTCTCTTTGCCTTGATAGTGTGCTCTGTTGTTTCCTTGATACCTTACTAATCACGTAGGTCCAATCTCTCAAATAAGGGAGTATATTCTTGGAGGTTGCTATATTAGCATTTGGACTGAGTCAATGAAGATAATCCTGTGTGCCCCTTGAATACTGGGGCTTTGGGCTACAAAGGCAGCATGTACAGGTCCCACTTATAGTAACCTCATGTGAGTGCAGGGAGCCTGGGATCTATGTATGTTTTATCTCCTTGACGTACATGCCAAACTCATCACTTTGTAGAGAGTCAGGGGTGGGTAGAATGGAGCAAGAATAAAGCCTTCTCGGGAGGCAGAGGCAGGCGGATCTCTGTGAGTTCGAGGCCGGGCTGGACCGATAGCCTCCGAAACAATACAGAGAAACCCTGTCTCGTAAAAACCAAAAAAAAAAAAAAAAAGAAAAAAAAAGAAATGTAAGGGTCCTGAACAGCTCCATTCACAATCAGTTTATGAAATTATAGAAGATTAAACCATAAAGGATTATTGGAAGAATTTTGGCTTTTAATGTGGACCCCTTCCCCTCTTTCTTTCCTTCTGTCTTTCATTCTTTTTAAAAAACCTCTTTGTCT